AGAGGGGCCTGGGGGAGCCGCAGCTCCGCGTCCCGTCCCTAGGAAAACTGCTTGGATGGCAGCCCCCAAAACAAAGAGAAAAAACATGTTTTCACATCTTCCGTTGTGTATTTTAACGGCCTCACAGCAGCCCTTTAAAAAACGTCAAAAAAAAAACTTTTTAAATGTCCTTTTTCCCTTGTACCCGGGAGAGACAGAGCGACAAGGATGGAGTTATAACTTAGCTATTTTAATAAATCTTACACAGTGCATGGTTATACCGTTTCATCCTTCGTTCAATTACATTAATGTACAGTACAGGGTAGTATTACCGGCAGGCAGTATAAATATAGCAGATGCACAGCTCGGCCCTGGGGAAGTTTTTAAAAAAGTGACCTCTGCAATGAGATTTACTTAATGTTTTTACTTAACATCCATTTCACAAGCAGTTCCCAGGGCTCCCAGCTTTACCAGAACAGTCAGATATGTTGCTATTGTAATCCCAAGTAGTTATAGATCTGATTTCTTCTCCTTTATACAAAAAAAAAAAAAAAAAAAAAAAAAAAAAAAAAAAAAAAAACAAAACAAGAACGGTGCCGTACCTTCCATCTCACCATTGGCTTTTATTTTAACCTGAGAATTTACCCTACTGTGCTCATGACACCAATGATTTACCAGTGTTCACATCCGCTTGCCCTCTCTACCCCAATGCAGAGCCAGGGCTTTTCAGGAGGACAGTCCTCTTCATTTCTCCCCGAGCAAGACCAAATTTGCAAAGTCCAGCCAATATGGCAAGCCAGCAGGGATGTGACTAAAAACACACTCTCTTTACACATTTCCTACCCTAATTCAAGTTATTGTACTCTAATTCCACCTGTGCTAACAACAGTCCCTTTAAAGCTCAAGAAAATACCTTATCCACTAGGATACATATATTTTTTTCTTTTTCTTTTTTTTTTTTTGAACAGGCCAAAATCAATAGATGCATCAGTGCTCTCTATTTAAAACAGGCATTCCCAAGCCACTGCTTTACAGTTGCACAGTTTTATCCATTAAACATGTGAGCACTGGCCTCGGTTGTGCAAAGACTTAAGCACATGCTTAACTTGTCAAGGGGGTAACAAGTTCTCCAGCGGAGGTGGGATTGTTCCCAGCATGTAAAGGCAAGTACCCATGTCTAAGTCTGGGCCAAAATTCCCCTTCGAGTTATTCTGACTTAATGTGTGAGTGAGAAAGACGAAGACTTTGCGGTTTGTGAGCAGTTCCTGTAAATATATTTGCTTTACTGCGCTCTTATCAAGTGGCTCTGTATGGAAAATACAGATATTGCGTAAATATCGTGAGTGCCAATGGTGATGGGGGCAAGAAATCTACTGTTACGTTTAAAACTTTGCATAAATGACGTATGCACAGTTGCTCCTTGTAGAGTTTTCCCTCAATCTCTATTTATAAATTGCAAGAGTCCAAAGATGTATGTTACTAGATAATTATATACACATGCACACACCATGATTAAGGCAAAAAAAAAGGAAGTGAGGAAGGAACAACAGCATCTACTAAATTAGATAATATCTTTCATGTTTGTAATGTTGCCGTGTCATATTAAAGCAGCCATTCCAAGTGCTATGTAGTTTCTTAGGTGTTTAGGAAACCCCTCAGAGCGCTCTTTGCAAGTCAAATGTGAAGGTGAGGATGAGTCATGACCCTGGCAGTGGCTTCAGGTGTGACTAAAGGTGGGGAGCAAATGTTAGGGGTTATTTTCTGTTTGTTTGAGGCCTGGATTTGGCAATACTGTAGCTTTCTGATACAGGATCAGTGCCAAAGCACTCTGCTGCACAGCTGCCCCAAGCCTCAACTCCTCCTGCATCCTCTGCGTCCTCAGCATCCTCTGATATTTGCAATAGCTTCAGTCCTCGCTCAGGTCCTTCTCTTTATTCCACAGCAAAACCCCCTTTCCACTGTTCAAAGGCAGCAGTAACTGGTAGTAAAGGAAGCGGCCCGGGTCTTGGATAATTTGTGTTGCAGTTCTAACTTCATTTAACAAGAGGGCATGGGAGGACAGCAGAAGGAGAGTAAACTGCCACCAGCCTCTGCTAGTAGGTTACCAGGGATGTCCGCCACATGAAAGGAAGTGAAAGATGAGGAAAAAAACAATAAAGCCTCATTTCTTTGGTCCCAGACTCTATGTGTTCAGGCTGGCTTGTTCTGCACAGAATGCCAAGGAAGGGGCTGGGAGCACACGTAACCCTCCGTTCAAAGCTTTGCGGGCTCCTTTTTGCATGTTCAGATTTGTGTGAATTCTGGTCTGCTCTGACTGCATGCACATAAAATTTCAGTATAAAATATATAGATATATATATAATAAAAAAAAAATACTTCATG